CTAAAGTGTCTTGGGGCAAGGTTTGCAAACCAAAAGAAGCTGGAGGGTTGGGGATTCCAAACTTGGAATTGGCAAACAAGGCTGGAATTATGAGGTACATTTGAGATTTACAAACAGATACCAATGGTAGACTTTGGATTAAATAACACTCATCTTATCAAGACTAGGAATCTTTGGGAGCTCAATATCCCTCACTCTTGCTCTTGGAGCTGGACGAAGCTGTTGCAACTAAGGCATCCAGCTAGACTTCTCCTAAAGCACTCTATTGGCAATGGGACAGACACATCTTTTTGGTTAGACAACTCGGCTTCAGGAGGACCACTTTGCTCTGGATTTCCCTCAACAATCCTCACACAAGCAGGCATAAATCATAAAACCATAGTAGACAACTTCATTGTTGGTTCATCTTGGTCATTTCCACCGGACATCGCAACCTCTATCCCTGAATTGCTGTAATTTTAACCTCTACTTCCAGCTAGAAAAGACAAGAAGAGATGGACAGCATCCTCAACAGGTATGTTCAGCCTTAATTACATAGTTTTTTTCCTTAAAGGGCAATATCCTCAAATTCATTGGCACAATCTGGTATGGTCCTCACCAATCATACCTAGAATGAAACTAAACCTATGGCTGGTAGTGCAATCAAGATTGCCTACATTGGATAGCAGATCAATGAGAAATCATACCAACGTTTGTGCTCTCTGTCAAAACCATCTTGAATCACATGAACATTTATTCTTTAAATGTTGTTTCACCTCTCCAATTTGGCGATTTATCAAGGGGAAATGTCAATTCTACACAACTATCACAAATTGGGAGGAATTAATTTACTAAATTAGTGAAAGATGGAAAGCAAAATCAGTCCCAAACCTGTTTAGGAAGGTATGTTTCTTTTCCATTGTGTACCACATTTGGGAAGAAATGAATGAAAGAATCTTTAAAAAGAAGAAAGCTTCTCAGAGAGCCGTGCTTGCTCGGATTTGTTCCACCATCACTGCAATTCTAAAGCTTGGTTTTCTTCAAGATTGTACCACAGCTAGAAGAATTCTTTCAGAATGGAACCTATCCCCCTCATGCTGTCGTTCTCCGCTGCACCCACCAGATTGAAGGAATTGTCGGCTCAGTCACTGAAATCATTGCCCTAGAATCACCGGATTGTTGTGGCAAATAACCTCCATTAACAGGAATTAATAACCGTTAATTATGGTTATTTGTTTTGGCTTAAATGTTAGGGTAAGCAGTACACGGGCCTAGCCTTACTATTTCCTTGTTTTTGGTCCTAATTAGGGCCTGTTCTCCCCAAAGGGGCTGTTTGGCCAATTGGCCCACATCTGTAAACATTTCTTATATTTATAATACTTGGTTAAAATTCCAAAAAAAAAAAAAAAAAAAAGGAGTAAATCTTGTCATAATGTGTCACCCAATACAAGCTAAAAATGTTCAAATATATCCAACAAAAATCGAATAAATAATGCTATTTAGATCAATTTATTTAGTTTAGAAAGTCTAATTGAAGAGATCGATGTTTTATTATTTTGATTCAGCGAATAAGCTAAGTGTGAATCATATCCATTACATTACAAGGATATAAATTCTTCAACTACACAAATAGATTTGATAAATCGTTTAAGAAGCATTTTTTAAGTTGAATTTGACTTGTCTACGCTCTTACATCATTGATCTTATGAGCATGCTAATGGGTTTGAGTGTGGGTGAGAGAGGATAAACTTTTTCTTTATTTTTTTTTATTTATTTTAACACTGACAAGAAACTCACTCTCACACTTTTTGCACATTCAAATTCCTCCTCACCTCTTTGTCGAAGAACTAATACCATTGGGAGGATAAACTTCTCCCCCTAATTTGTTGGAAAAAAAAAAAACCCATTAAAATATGCTACATCATAAATAAAAAAAAAAAAAAAAGAAGAGAGAATATTCATGTAATTTCAATAACAAATGGAAATTACATGTTTTTGTGATGTATTGGTTCAGTATTTTCATCCTCCCCAAAAACATGATCTCTGACCTTAATGCCTTGCTTTGAAGATTTCTATGGACTGGGGCAGATCTTAAAAAGATACGGGCTAGAGTGGCTTGGGTTTTAGACTTTTAGTATGTAAGCCCAAGGAAGAGGGATGATTGTGTCTTCCAGACCTTGAGGTAGCTAAGACCATCTCCAATGCAAAATGCCATTTTTGCATGCCAAATCTATATTTTGAGAGGAACTACAGTGTTAAAATGCTATATTTTAACAATTCTGCTCCAATGGTGCATTTCATCAAAAATGTTATTTTTTTTACACAACTACCATTCTTTTTCAATTACCATTCCCAACTACCAATTTTCAACAACCATTATTTATTTTTATTTTTTTGTGAGTGTTTGTATTTTACTTAGCTTATTTGCCTCATTAAAAATAAATAAAATATACATGATATATTTGATTATATTATTAGTAAGTCTAAACCAAAAAACAAAATATTTTTAGGGCAAATCATTTTAGCTAAACTTGCCTTCTCAGTCTCCCCAATCGCCTCCATCTCTATTCTCGTTCTCGACTCTAAACTTGCCCTAATAATGTACATGTGGTAGACATATGAAAAGATTAATAAATCATATACATTTTTTCATGCCAACTTCAAAAAATGTTGATCGTTTCGGTTATTGTAGTGTAATGTACTTGTGCATATTCATGTGATATTTTTTTATCTTTCAAAAAATATATACATACATTTAAATTATATATGTATTTAGTTGGATGATGCATATTTTATATGGACAGTGCTGAAAAAAGAAAAAATAATACATATCTTATATAAATACAGAGTAATTTTTTATTATTATTATTTTAAAGCACTTGTATGGATAAGTTTACATTTCACAATTTTTGTAAACTATTCTGCGGTGAGTTTATGATTAATGATTATGATACGGGATTAATAATTAATAATGTGCCTACATATCTCTCTCTCTCAAACAACAAAATACATTCTCTCTACAACTGCAAACTACAAAATCTACAAGAATCAGAAGTTCAAAACCCATATATTTCAGTTTGGCAGAAACAATAGCAATAGTTATATTTTGTGTTATATTTGGCAAAATATTTGATAAAGCTATATTTTGGCAACCCATTTAACAGCCCATTAGAGAGCCCATGTTAAACTCACCTGTTATATTTTGAAATTGATAGCTCATTTGGTAGCCCATTGGAATTGCTCTAATAAAGCTGCAATCCTCAAATAGGAATCAATTTGTCAACTGGGCATCCTATCATTGGAACCTAGGCTGGCCCTAAGTTTTTGGGGGCCTTTGCGAAAAATAAATTGACGCCTACTTATCATAGTCTCACTCTCACATAAAAATTATTGTGATTAAATTAATGTAATAAAGTAAGTTTTATAACTGAAATTAATAAAGAGTTTACAAAATTCACCAGCCACTTGAACCACCAGAATAAAAAGTATCAAAAAATTATTCTCATCATAACTTGTTGTCTACCCTATTTTTTATTTAAAGAGCTGAAACTATTACGAGAACTTTTACCAAAAGAAAAAGGACAAGGAGTGCAATATTAAACTTTGAAAATTTCTCTTCTTGCATGCATTCTTAGATGCAAAATCTTCAATTAAACTTTCAAAATCAAGATTTTCTTAAAATTCATTTTCAATTCAAATCAAAGCTAGTCCATTCAATCTTTTTTGTGACATGATTGATCGCAAGTAAGATTTTATTAATTTCAATTTTGAAAAACTTCTTTCTACAGAAGCAACAGTAACATGTATAGTCAATAATATTATATAATTAATGCATGCATTTGGAAAACAATTCATTCTTTTCAAAAAAATTAATATTGCACTCGCTCTCATTTTTTCTTTTGGTAAAATGTTTTAAAGTTGTATTACATGGAACCCTTCTTGAGCTGCAATTCATTTTCTAAATAAAATATTTTTCACAGTATATATACTATATATATGGGCTCACAAAAAAATTTGGGTGCCCTCCAAAATTGGGGGACCTCTGCGGTGGCACCTCCCCCACCATCCAAAGGGCTGGCCCTGATTGGAACCAAGACTCCCCTAAGTTTGGGGTCTGCAGCTGGTGCTACCTTTTTATGTTGGAGTAGTCAGTGGTGGATCCAAGGGACACTACAACAAATTAGGGTTCTTGCCATAAGCCACTTCGTGGCAAAAACCTTCAAATTTCGTGGCGAAAACCTTTTAGCCACAAGAAATAGCCCGTGGCTCAGTCGTGGGCGTAGCCCCATCACAGATTGTAAATAACCACGACTAAAATTTTTTGTGGCAAAATATGGAACTTTTGCCACAAAATTTGAACTCGTGGTAAAATAACTCTTACGCCACAAGCTATTTCGTAACTAAATAACAATACTTTCATGGCAATTAGCAATCTCGATATAGGAATTAATCATGGCTAATTCAATACTTTTGCAACGAAAATATATATCGTGACTAATTTAACCCTTTTTCCCGCGGAATTTATTCGTGACTATAATTCTAATTGCCCACGAATATATGTCGTGACAAATATCCATAATAGGCCACGGAGGCCCACGAATATATGTCGTGGCTATAATTCTAATTGCCCACGAATATGTGTCGTGGCAAATATCCAAAATAGGCCACGGAGTTCATTCGTGGCTATAATTCTAATTGCCCACGAATATATGTCGTGGTTGTAAGTCTAATTGCCCACGAATATATGTCGTGGCAAATATCCAAAATAAGCCACGGAGTTCATTCGTGGCTATAATTCTAATTACCCACGAATATATGTCGTGACAATTACCCAAAATAGGTCACGAAATTCATTCGTGGCTATAATTCTAATTATCCACTAATATATGTCGTGGCATTACTCATTTTTTCAATATATTAATTTTTTTTTGAATTTATATACATATATATATATATATATATATATATATATATATATATATAAACCCTAAACCCTATTAATAACATATTAATATGGCACCAATTATAATTTTATAACCTATAAATTATTAACTTTATAAACAATATCAAAAATAAAATTTAATCACACATCAAAATGATTATGCAAATAAAGAAATACTTGATATTATATACCACACCAACCAAAAAGTATTGTTTACAACATATACAATAAAGCCCATCGCACAAAAAAAAGCTAGCATTCTCATCTGAGATCTTAGACAAAATGTGGTATAGAATCCGAAACAAAGAATTCAAAGATCTAAATATAAACAAAAAGAGCTTGAATTCTTATAGCATGAGCTCGTCCAACAATCTGCAAAACCAACACTGAATAAATACAATTAGTGCCTATATATAAATAAAAAAAAATGAACCCAAAGGTAAGTTTTCAAAATATATTACATGAATGAAAAAATATAAATAGAAAATAAGAACACCAATAAAAAAGATTTATCAACTCATTAAAGATAAGGAAAAGTATAAATAAAAATATATATATATATATATATTATTAAGATTTATCATTGACAAGTTACGCTTTGAAAATTCAATATGTAAGAATATTTACTTTGTGAGACTAAACTAATCATATTACTTTTTATGTTATTCCTCGCTACACTACAACAAAAATGATTATTAACAATGTGGCATTTACAAGATACAAAGTCTAAGTGTTGTTAATTAGTTACCTTCTGTTAGATGCTCATTGTTTTAGTCTACAACACTTTTAGACCCTTGTTAATGTTTTATTAAATTTTAGCACTCAAACTCTCACTTTTCAGTATTCTGTAACAAAAATAATAACCTTTATTACATGCACTCTCCCATATCTTATGCAAAAATGAATTCTTGTAACATGGATCAATCAAGAATCTAGAAACCAATAATGTACAATTAGTACCTATGTCAATTAGAAAAATGAATCCAAAGATGAACTCTAAAAATAGTTTATCATAAAGAAAAAAGTTCCATTAAGAAGCACTAAAAATTGAATCTTCCATTTAAGCATATATGTGTGATCCCATTACAATACTAATATATTGTGTGCAGAATATTAATATATATTGTCTCCATGCAACATTAAGCATAAAAAATTAAACATAAAATTGCTTTTGGTTAACCTGTATAGTGATCAAAATAGATAACAGATAATTAAATCACCGCAAGTAATTAATCTGCCAACATTTCATACACATTATATTTTAAAACCATTTTGGTAAAATTGAAAGATTTTAACAAGAACTATTTATTTGAGGATCACAAAACTAAATGGTATAATCCAAGGCTTAAGTTGCACACTACATCGTTGAACAAAATAATAAATATAGTAAATATAATTAAAATTGCTTTATTCAATAGAAGTGTCATGTTTAGCCAATGTTATACGCTGCAAAATTTGATTCGATGTGGTAGAACTATGTTAATGTTGTTCCAGTAATGCTTATTTGTTCCAAGTGTCATCTAATTCTTCATCGTTCCTTCTCTAAAAAGTTCTTGTTATAGACACAATGTGGTTCATAATAAAGTGTCAACTGGCCTTACAGAGAAACAACAAGATACCTGGAGCACGTATTTGATAAAGGAAAACCATTGTTTGCTTCAATTTCAGAACTCTGACCAGGTTCTAAATATATGACCTGTATAAAACAAGCATTTCTTGCTCTCAAAATTACTTTTTAGAATTTACGCTCTCGCTCCAGTTCTAACTTTATGTTATGTCGTTTGTCAATGCTTAAGACTAATAAAAATTAAGATTTGACGCTCTTGCTTCAGCTCTAACTTTATGTGACTTATCGTTTGTCAATGCTTAAGATTAAAAAAAATTAAATTTACTTGTGCTATGTTTGGAAGCGTGGAATAGGCAACTTAGATTTGGAATTGAAAAAAAAATTAAAAAGTTAAAAGTTAAAATTTAATTCTCTCTAAACACAACAAAAATACTTTTACTCGGCATGTGCCATTAAATGAATCCCTCTGATTGGTTTGTATGGTTAGTTATCATTTGCCGAAAAGAAATATTTTACTATATTAAGTGTAATGGATCCCAACACTGCACTGTAGATCAAGCACAAAAACCTACACTTTACAATTACATTCCACATGACTATGCAGGTTCATATGCTTTTCTAGATGTGTTCATAGTTGTTAAAGGCTCAAGACGCACAAAAGCGCAAATGCCTCCTGGAGCCTGAGGCGCAAGGCAAGGCGTGCGCCCGACTGAAGCAAGGCGACTGAAAAAAAAAAAAACAATACCCACCTAATAAAGAATTAAAGATACAATAGTATATATATAAAGATGCAAAAGTTCAATATTCAACATAAAGATGTCAAAGCCAACTAAATCAAGTACTTAAATTCAACAGTGAATAATAAAAAAAGTGTATTTGATAATGTATTTTAAATCCATACTTCAGTGCATTTTATAATGTATTTTAAATATCACGAAAATCATGTATCACTTTAAATTTTGTAAGATTTTAAATCACAGTAACTTCACATTTTAAATTACAGTAACTTCACTAATGCAAATTTCACCATTTGCACCATCGTATAAAATTTAGCTCTTTAAAATTTTCAGTATTCATCCTCTATTGAATAATAGAAAATCTATTGATCATGTTATGAAACCCAAAAAAAAAAAAAAAAAAAAGACTTTAAGATGCTGCAAGTTTCAAGGGAAAAGTTCACTGATAAACTCAACAAATAAAATAAAATAAATAAATAAAATAAAAGTTCACAAAAAAAAAAATAGCAACTGTTATTTTAAGATTAAAATAAAATAACACAAGATCAAGATAAAAAATAGCAACAATGCAACAACTATGCTCTAGAGTCTCCAGACTCAAGAAAAAAAAATAAATAAAAAATAAAAAGAAGAAGAAAAGAAAAAAAAAAAAATCTGCCAAACTTGACTCGACCGAGAGAAGAAAAGAAGAAGAATAGAGGAAAAAAAAAAAAATGATCCAGCTTCCGAGATCCGAGAAGAGAAGGAGCCTAGGAGGAGAGAAGAAGAAGAGAAGGAGGAGGAGAGAAGAAGAGAAGAAGAAGAGAAGTTGGAAAACTTACCGGCAAAGTCACCGACACAGATCCGGCAAATCCAACGCAGATCCGACTTCCGAGACCAAGTCGTCCTCGTCGCTGACTGCCTCTGTCTTCTTTGTTTACTTTTTTGTTCTCTTTTTTGTTTTTTCTTATGTTGTAACTATCATGTTTTAACTAATAAAATAATAATATAATAAAAACAATAACAATATAACAAATAAACAAAGAATAAACAAACAAAATAATACAAAACCAATCAGGCGCGCCTTTAGAGAGCCTTTCGCCTAGCGCCTTTGAAGTAAAGGCGCATGCCTTCATTAACCCAAGCGCCTTAAGTCAATAGAGGCGATGTGATGGCGCCTGGAGAACTAATACAATGGAATTAATATTGAGAAATAAAATAAGAAATGAAAGACTAAGTTCTTTATTATATAAAAAAATAAATAAATAAATTATAAAAGAGAAAGCTGATTCTAAAAATAAATAAAATAAAATAAATAAACTTTTTTAAGGAAACTGTTGAAGACAGTTCATATAGCCATCTGTTTGATATTTTAAAAAATCACTAATTTATATGACAAAAAATAAATATTTAAGGACAACTGAACTCTAGAAATGCAATTGAAGGCACACATATTCTGATATTCATCTCATATATATCATAGAACACGTAAGCAACCACTCAATTTTCATAGGACAGTAAAATGTCATATCAAAAAATAAGTTTTTTCTGTTAGAAAATAACAAATTCATTATACCGAATGGTTAAATTACCTTATGCAATGCAAATGATCCACCATTCACCTCTATTGTAATATCGCTAGGAACATCCCGGAATATCCTGCAAAAGATCAGCAACCAATGACCAACATAAAACACACTAGCAATTATTACAATAATTAACATGGAAATGGAAAATCAGAAAAATCAGTGCTTAGCTTTTTGGATGCTCCTAATATCAATAATTAGAAGGGTACATGCACAAGAAAAGTTTTTTTGGCAAACTGAAGTAAAGATTGTGAGATCAATATATCTCATTTTACATAAAAAAAAATTTAAAAGTCAATTGACAGTTAATAAAATCAAAAGTTCCCATTAATTTTAACATGCCCAAACAACAACAGAAAAAGAGAACAAACTGAAGAAAACAAAAAGAAAGAAAGAAAGAAAAAAGATGCAGTTATACCAAATAACTATTTAAGAATGAGTCAAAGAAAGAAAGACAGGGCACTGGTGAATTGGGCTTGAAGCTCCTTGGGCGAAAAGAAAAAAAAAAAACAAAAAATACAAAATTAATATTGTTTGCATCTAATTCCGCTGTTCTATATGTTAATTCATCATATAATGTGAGATCAGGCCAGTGTAAAATCCAACATCTCACATATTTTGCAGTTAACACTAGCATCGAGATGTTAACCATACCGAACACTAAAATTTTAAAAATCTTAAGCTAAATAAGATGTAATTTAGCTTCAAGATGCTTTCACCAAGCACGGAGGGATTACATTATACTTTCGGCTACACACTCGATCAAATTTAAAATACAGGAAAGTCCGATGAGTTTCCCTCTAGAATATATTGACGAACATCAATGATACTAAATTAAAACTGCAGCCCTCACCCCCACAAAGTAATTAAAGAAAACACAAAGTAAGCACATTAAACAAGTAGAAACCTTAAATAAATGCAAACTATAAACACATTTTCTCTTTACAATTAAAAAGAGCTCAAGGACCAAAAAAACACAGAAATATTATATTATAGAACGAAAAAAAAAATATATTTGTTTTGCTGAAATAAAATGTAGATTACGGTGATTACCTCAAACTGGAATGCAATGCAATGCAAATTTTGTTACTTTATATTGTAAAAATAAAAAATAATTATATAAAAAAAGATCATAAAAATTTTCACCAAATAGGATTTAGTTTGTAAAACTAGAATTACAGAGCTTGATTAGTTGATTTAGAAAAATAAAATAAAATTAAAACAAAACCCAAACATACAAGTTAGCAGGGGGGGCTTGAGAGTTGAGAGACAGCGGGCCAGCGGCTGAAGCTTGCAAACGGCGAACCCGATCTGGAACAGCGGGCGATGGAAAAGGAAAGATATGGGTTTTGATTTTTTGAACAATCTTGAAATGATATGCCGATATGGGTTTTGAACTTTTGATTCTTGCATACAGATAGATAAACTGAAATATATGGGTTTTGAACTTCTGATTCTTGTAGATTTGTGGCTTGCAGTTGGAGAGAGAGAGAGGGCAAGTTCAGAGTTGAGAACAAGAATAGAGATGGAGGCGATAGGGGAGGCTGAAATGTGCAGACAGATTCTTGTAGATTTTGTAGTTTGCAGTTACAGGGACAGAGAGAGGGCAACTTCAAAGTTGAGAACGAGAATAGAGATGGAGGCGATTGGGGAGGCTGAAGAGAAACCTAGGGTTTGTAATGTCGGATAAGATTGGTAAAGTTAGAGAAATAGATGGATGAAATATTCAAGCGCCAGATTTCCCCGCGTAAAATAATTTCAATAAATTTCGCACCCGCCTTTTTTTAGGGAAGGCTGGTTAAAGTACATATATACCAGACTATATATACAATCCAATGGCCTAGATTAGCGTGTGCAGCTTCTACCTACGGACACGCCCACACTGGAATATCCCAATATCATCAGGACCAACCTAAGGTCCTGATTTGAGGCGCACCGAAGTGCTGCGCTCCGCGACTCACTGAATCACAGCCTCCTATCCGTTGTGCCGCTACGTACCAGCGGCATATATTTAATTTAAAATTCCAGAATATTCCTAAAAATACAAAACAAATTCTAAAAATAATTTAATCCAAAAAAATCCTAAAAGCTTAATTTATTATTTTTGGGCATATATGAACATGTATAATTTTATTAAGATTTATTTAATTTAATTAATCATGCTGCACAAAGTTAAAGTAAACTATAAAAATTTCAAAAATTAAAGTTTAATTAACCTAACCTCACATACAAGATTTAAATTATCAAAACAATACATACATATATTCACATATTTAACACTATAATTTTGTAAAGAATAAACATGCTCATATAATTTGATTAATAAATTAATTTTAAAAAAATAAAATAAAATAAAACTATAATTTCGATAATCAAGGTGATAAGTTTATAAGTTCTAAGAGGAGAAGTAGAGAATAACTTGTCTGTCTCTTCCATTCATAGCACTCCACAAATCAAACACCATATCAATTTAACAAATTTAATTACGAAATATAATTTAATTAAAACAAGACAATTAATCTATGCACTTAATTAAATAAAATAAATCATTTAAAAATAAAATAAAAGCAATTAATCGCAAACAAAACATTTAAAAATAAAATAAAAGTAATTAATCCCAATTAATAAATCCTTTAAAATATCGGGGTATTAAATTTGTCTCACATCAGATCCCATTTTTATAAAAATGAACCGAATTTTGCGAGTCTAGTGCTAACTTAACCTAGAGGGAGCACGGACCTTCTACTCACTCTTCTGTACCACTCGAGGTGTGTGTATTTTGCTATCATTCTCATCATGTCAAAGATTATTATTATTATTAATTCTTTTTTTATAAGTTACATTGGCAACATCTGCAATTTTGTATAATAGTCTATGCAATTTATATATTTTAGACCTATGTCGTTGTTCCCAATACTTATAAACATGTTTGGGATCACTTATACTAAAAATGGGGTCATACGAAACACTACTACCTAAGCGATGATATCAACCATGTAAGGACGATACTCTGGACCCCTGGCCTATTATTTTGGAAAATGTGACAGTTGATTACACCAATAAGTTAAAAATATAATTGTTTGGACTGGGTTTACGGAGCCTACTATGCATGTACATGAGCCCAAAAATAATATAATAATAAAATAAACCAGTTTCTGAGTTTAAATATATATATAAAAAAATTATTATATAAAGAGAGGGGATAAAACAAATTATTGTTGCCATACCAATTATTGTATAACATTTATAAACTGATATTACAAGTACGTATGTAACTGTGTTTATTGTTATTATTATTATTATTATTATTATTATTATTTTTAAAAAAATATTTATTGCCATAAATTTACATATTATATAAGTTGTATTGTTGTTTAATTATAAAAATTATGGCCTGAATATTAGAGCATCTCTAACTGTTGTATATATTATTTTTGTGTAAATCTGATGTGTCATAATAAATTTAAATAAAAAATTTGGATTATTTATTTTTAGCTCCAACGGTTATTTTATACCTTTTATATACAAATTTATCTCCCAATAATAACCAACCAGTATCATGCCTAGAGCCCACATAATTTTTACAAGCCTATAGAGTTGAATAGTTAATGGAATGAGAAAGAGAGAGGAGAAAGCTACAATTTACCCATTTACTTTATTAGTAGAATTAATTTATCATAAAAATAAAAAATATATATTTATAACTATCATTTTATAAAATGATTAACGTATTATTAGAATATTGGGGCATTTTTGCAACAGGTGGTATTAGGCACAAAATATAATTCAAGGGGGTTATTTGCAAATTCAAACATAGTTCAGGAAGTTTTTTGCACTTTACCATATATTTATATATATACACACACTTTTATATATTAAAAATATACCTTATGATAAGTTTTAATTTTTCTTATTATTTCCCAAACAAGTATATGGTGACAGAAGGCCAATTTGCGACAAGAATTTACTCTTTTGTGACGAAATATCCTTTGTCGCTAAAAGATAGAAATTGGCGATAAATAATTTGTCACTAAAAATCTATCAATGGCGACAAAGACCATTTTTTTCATTAGAGTGTAGTTTTTTGGGACAAAAATTCATCGTCACTAAATGATAATAATTAGTGACAATATGTTGTCACTAAAAGTCTATTAATTGTGACAAAGTGAGTTTTGTCACAATAACTCTATCTTTTGCGGCAATGCATCATTTGTCACTAGAAGATTGTTTGTAGTGACAACAAATTTTGTCGTTAAAATGCCATCAATTGTGACAAAGCTATATTTGTCACAATAACTCAATCTTTTGTGACAATGCATCATTTGTCACTAGAAAGTTGTTTGTAGCGACAACAATTTTTGTCGTTAAAATGCCATCAATTGTAAAAAAGCTATATTTGTCACTAAAATCTAGTTAATTGCGACAAAGCTATATTTGTCACTATAATGTAATTAGTTGTGACAATATATTTGTCACTAAAATCAATTTTGTCGCCATACCCTTTCCCGCAGTATGTCCAGACGTGAGGAAACTCCTGGGTAGATATTGCGATAGCTTTTTGTGATAAATTTGGTTTTTGTCGAGTAAAGTTAGCTTTAGGCGACAAAGTTACTTTTTGTCATAAAAGGTCATTTTATTGCGACAAATTCATCTTGTCACTATAGTTTTTGTCGCCAAAGACCAAATTTGTTGTAGTGCAAGAAACAGTTTTTCATGAGAAATGTCCGGATCGTAAAGTCATTTACCAAGTCATGGTAACAAAGGCTTTGTGGATGAAAAAGTAAGTTCAATACCTTAGACTCTACTTTCTAGAGACCAAAATAAAACATATGATCAATTGGTGTGCATGGTCTTAGCATTTCTAACTCAAGCATTGACTTCTTTAATTCAAAACTTATGCAAACTTGAACTAACTTATTCTTTTAGCAATGACTTCATGTGTCTATTACTAGTGGATAAAAGAACATGCATGTGAATGATGATATTATATGCATAGTCCTATAGAGATGAGTTTCAAATAAATTCATAAATACTTTGAATTGAATCATAAACACCCACTATACTATTTACCCATTTCTTTAAGCTTTGTTCATATATGATTGTTTAGGCTTTGAGGTATTCTTGTTTTCTTCCAATTTCTTTGAGTTGTTTGTTTGCTCATTAATTGTAGTCCAAACTATTTTTGGATGGACTTGCATTTGGTTTCCTTGCAATTTAATTCATGTCTCTTTGTATCCATTCTTTTCCATTGATGTGATCGCTTTATTGAGTTCATTTTTTGAAGACGAATCATCAATAACACTCAATGTATATAATTAAACATTAGTCCAAAAACACCATTAATAGTTTGTAATCACCAAAATCACTAAATTGTCCTTGGTTAAAGGCTTTGTGCCAATACTTTTAAGATTTTTTATTCCATTTAATTCCCAAATCACAAAATTTTTTATTTATACCCTTACTAAATAGAAGTAAAATTTTGTAGTTGTAAATTTATTCAAGATTTGATATATGATCTATATTTTTATTATATCTTTAATTTTTAATTACTAATAATTATTGCATTATGGATATATATATATATATATATATATATATATATATAATTTAAATTCAATATAAGAATGTTTGGTACCTTTTCTTTTTATTTTTTTATAATCTTTTCTATATGACAAGTACAGTATTGGTATTTAAAAAGGGTCAAATTTAAAGGAAATGCCATTTTGAATTTTTATTAACAATTAATTAATTTGCTTACGGATTCGGTGTTCTAAGCCTCTTATTTAAGGAATTACAAAAACTAAATAAATAATAGTCAACAAAGATATCCTAAATGTCACGAAAACAAATTTGTTGCAAAAATGGCATTTCGCCACAAGGATTGAAAATTCGTGGCAAAATAGTTCTTAATTGCCATGAAAACAAATTCGTTGTAAAAATGACATTTCGCCATAAGGATTGAAAATTCGTGGCAAAAGATACTATTTGTCACGAATAAAGCATCGTTGCGAATACCAAATAGATTTGGCACGAAAATAGTTACGTGACAATAGAGCATATCATAGCCACAACTAATAATTTGTGGCAGAATCCATCTTTTAGCCACGAGAAAAAAATTTCATGCCAAAAAAGTATATTTGCCACGAGAATAAAATCATGGCAAATTGTAAAGTGATTTGCCACGAAAATATATATGTGGCAAAAGATACATACAATTGCCATGAATAAAAATTCGTGACACAAATAGCATTTTTGCCACAACTTTGTATGTCGTCCCTAATTCGTCGTGGCAAAATTGACATTTTACCACAAATTTTTAGGTCGTCCCTAATACTCGTAGCAAGAACTAGTATTTGCCACGAAAAATTTACTCCGTAGCAAACACTCATATATTAGCCACAAGAAGTTAATTTCGTGGCAAGAGCCCAAATTTGTTGTAGTGGGAGGGCTTGGGTGGGCTTGAGCACCCCCCAAATTTTTTTATTTTTTATTTTTAGTATAAGTATATTTAGCCTTATGTTTTAAATAAGAAAAAATTAATAGTAGTATTAACCCCTTAATTTTAACCCATCAAACAAGCCTAATATTTCAGTCACAATTTTAAAACAAAGGCCTAACCAAATAGGTCCAAGCCAAACAAATTCTAAACCATCCAAACAAGTCCAAAATGTTTGGCCGACGAATGT